TGCTCTCAGAAAGGGATCAGTGATACATTGGTCCCCCGGTCATTCCTGCCCATCCCTGCTCCCCACTCTACTTCTGGGGAACGGGTCCAACCCCTTTGTGGCATGCCTGACGACATGGGTTTCCCAGGGCTGCCAAAACAAAGCACCACATGTCAGGCCTTTCAGCCCAGAAACTTATCCTTTCATAGTTCCAGAGGACAGAGGTCCACAATCAAGGTGTTGGTGGTCCAGGCTCACCCTGAGGCTGGAGGCAGAATCTGTCTCGGCCCCTCCTAGGCTTCTGGTGGTGCTGGCATCCTTGGCATTCTGGGACACACATACTGGCGGGCACACATATCGCTCTACTGTCAGGCTCAGTCCCCCTAGTGCCTCCTCCCTGTGTGGTGGTCTCTGTGTCTTGTCTCTTCTTCATATGAGAATATGAATGGGATTCATACTGGATTAGGGGCCTACCCTACCCCATATGCCCTTGTCTTAACTAATCACATCTGTAACAACCTTGTTTCCCAATAAGGCCATGTTCCAAGGCTCCAGGAAGGACATGAATTTGAGGGGATCATCAAACCCACTAACCTTTGCACATGCCTAGTTCTCAGGAGTCCCTGGACCCCTCAACCTGACCAGGTCGTCTTCTTCTGATAACAATTTGTGACCAGCACCCTCTCCAAACTAACTTAATCCAAAAGTGGAACATACAGGTTTGTGCTACAAGAAAGCTAAAAATAGTACCTGGCTTCGAATTGAGGAACTCATTTGGTGTTTGGATCTGTTTCCTTTTGAACAGTGGGCCATGGAGTTTGGAAGCCCAGTTTTATGTTCTCCCTGGAGGATCACGGTTTCACCCCATGAATGGGCCCATGAATGGGTTTGTACTAGCCCAGGCTGGCTCATGCGGGCCAAACCCATGCTACCCACGCCGGGAGGGGAGACCTGAGAAATACAGGGGTGTCTCTGCCTTACCTGAGAGTCCTGCTGTGTGAAGTCAGTGCATTAATAGACAGCGGTGGCACAGCTCCTGCCTTGTAGCACTGCCTGGTCCAGTGTTTCCTTCCCTTCAATGCCCCTGCTTGGCAGAGTCTCAGATACAGCCAGTTGTGTGCTTTGAACCAGCAGGCTGTGCTGCTGACTCTGAGCCAAGGAGAACAGAAGGGACAACCTGACCCTGCCCAACAGTCTGCAGTTCCTATCTAGGCACAAACAGGCAACACTTCATAACCCAGTGGCGGCCCTGGACCCAGGAGGTTTGTGCAGTCATGGACAGCTACACAGGCGCCTGCCATGGACGGAAGGGAAGGCTGCACGGACACCTGCCGTGGACGGAAGGGAAGGCTGCGCGGACTCCTGCCGTGGACGGAAGGGAAGGCTGCGCGGACTCCTGCCGTGGACGGAAGGGAAGGCTGCGCGGACACCTGCCGTGGACGGAAGGGAAGGCTGCGCGGACTCCTGCCGTGGACGGAAGGGAAGGCTGCGCGGACTCCTGCCGTGGGCGGTGGGGAAGGCTGTGCGGACTCCTGCCGTGGGCGGAAAGGAAGGCTGCGCGGACACCTGCCGTGGACGGAAGGGAAGGCTGTGCGGACTCCTACTGTGGATGGAAAGGAGGTTGCACAGAGGTCTGCTGTGGACGGAAGGGAAGGCTGCACAGACTCCTGCTGTGGACAGAAGGGAAGGCTGCACAGAGCCTTATCACTAATGGGAAGGAAAGGCTGCACAGAGGCTTGCTTGGATAGAAGGGAAGCGTGTAGATTGTCTTGGATATGAAGGGAAAGCTGCATACAGAATTCTCATGGATGGAAGGAAAGCTGCACAGAGGAATGTTTATGATGAGAAGGGAAGAATGCAGAGCCTTGCCATAGATAGGAAGGAAGGATGCACAGAAGCTTTTCTGATGAGAAGAAAAGGCACAAAACCTTGTCATGGATGGAAGTGAACGCTGCACAGATGTCTTGTCATAGAAGGAAGGGAAATCTTCAGAGACATTTGTTAGGGAGGAAGGGAGGGCTGCACAGTGGCTTGCTGTGTTATGAATGGGAAGGAAGACTGCACAGAGGCTTGCCATGGCTGTGTAGGGAAGTCTCCACACAGAATTCTCATTCCTGCACAGATGATGGGAAAAGAAGGCTGCGCAGAGGACTGTCATGGATGGAAGTGAGCACTGCACCAAGTTTTGTCTATGAGGGAAAGGAAGGCTTCAGAGAGGCTTTCTGTGCATGGAAGAAAAAGTTGTATGCAGGGTAGTCAGAGACAGAGATAAAGGCTGCACAGCGGCCTCCCATAGAAGTGTAGTTTACAGGGGCTTGTCCTACAAGAAGGAAGGTCTGCAGAGAGGCTTATTGTGGATTGGCGGGAAGGCTGCGCACTAGAATGTCTATGAAAGGAATGGAAGACTGCAATGAAAGTTGTCAGATAGAAGGGAATGCTACAGAGAGACTTTTTTTCTTTTGAGACAAAGTCTCGCTCTGTCTCTCAGGCTGGAGTGCAGTGGCATGTTCTCTGCTCACTGCAACATCTGCCTCCTGGGTGCAAGTGATTCTCCTGCCTCAGCCTCCCAAGTAAGTGGGATTACAGGCTCTCACCACCATGCCTGGCTAATTTGTGTATTTTTTGTAGAGATGAGGTTTCACCGTGTTGGCCAGGTCGGTCTCAAACTCCTGACCTCAAGTGATCTGCCTGCTTCGGCCTCCCAAAGTGCTGGGATTACAGGCATGAGCCATTGCATCTGGTCTGCACAGGATTTTCATGGATGGGAAAGAAAGGCTACACAGAGGAATGGCTATGATGTGAAGGAGAGGGTGTTCAGAAGCTTGTCATGGGTGGGATGGGGCAGCTGCACAGAGCCATACCATTGTTAGGAAGGGAATGATGCAGAAAGCATTGTTGTTGATGGGAAGGAAAGGTTGCATGGATTGTTGTTATGGATTGAAGGTTGCATATGTCATAGATGGGAAGCGAAGGTCGCACAGAAGCTTGTCATGGATGAAATTGATATGGTTTGGCTCTGTTTCCCCACCCAAATCTCATCTTGAATTGTAATCCCCACGTGTCGAGGAAGGAAGGTAATTGGATCATGGGGCTGGTTTTCCCCAGGCTGTTCTCACGATAGTGAGTTCTTACGAGACCTGATGATTTTGTAAGGGGCTCTTCCCCCCTTTGCCTTTCTGTCTCATGTGCCACCATGTAAGATGTGCCTGCTTCCCCCTCCACTGTGATTTTAAGTTTCCTGAGGCCTCACCAGCAATGCAAAACTGTAAGTCAATTACCTCTTTTCTTTATCAATTACCCAGTCTCAGGCAGTTATTTATAGGAGTGTGAAAACAGACTAATACCAAAAAAAATGAATACTGTACAGAATGTTGTCATGTAACTAAGGGAAGACTTCATAGAAGCTTTCCATAGATAGAAGGAAAAGTTGCATAGAAGCTTTGCATGGATTGGAAGGGAGGTTGCTCAGAGGCGTGTCATGAGTGGAAAGGGAAGGGTACAGAGGTTATGGATGGAAGGGAAGGTTGCACAGAGACTTATGATAGTGGACCCAGACCAGAGAGAAGGAAGAGGGAGGGAGGATCTCCTGGGTCTCTAGCTAATTATGGGTTCTTCACCAAGTGTAGTGCATTCTGCCTGAGGAGAAATGGGAATGAGACCAGGGGCCAGTCAGCCACCAGACATGTGAGGTCAGTTCCCTCATCCAACTGGGGGTGGGCTGGGGACACAGACCACCTTCTTAGGGCACTCAGGCTGGCGGCAGAGTTATACCAGCTCTCCAACAATGGCAGGGTGACAGGTCACAGTGTCAGGGTGCTTGAGGTAGCCTGAGGTCCATGGGAGACCTAGCAGGCCGTCAGGTCTGGGTATAGTCTAACTAGGCCTGAGATCTGGCCCTGCTTTTCAAATGACGATCTTAAGCAAGTTACTTGGAGACACTGGGTTTGTTTTTGTTTTGTGTTGTGTTGTTTTGTTTTAAGGAAAAACAAGAGTTTCTACCTTATGTGGGTCTGCTTGGGATTAAATGAGATAATGCTTAGCACATTGTGTGGTGAGTTGTAATTACCCAAGAAATGAGTTTTTGAACTGCCTTGGTGTTTTAGAAATCTGTGGCCTGCGTTATGTTTTAAAAGCATCACTGTTGGCTGGAAGTAGAGAGGACCATTGAGAGGCTATTTAATGACAGTGAAGACAAGGGCATGGGCTAGGGCTCTCCTGTAGGCTAGACTTGGGGGCGTTCTGTGGGCATGGGGGCTGGAGAAGTTGGGTGCTCCGGGTATGCAGCTGGACCAGCTGGGTGTTGGTGCTGCCTACCCAACTGAAATTCAGAAGGAGATGCTGGGGTGAGGGCTAGCCATGCCTGGTCCCAGTGGGCCTGTGGCCACCTGCTGGGCTGCATGGCAGGCAGGAGACAGCAGGTCTTGAGCTGGGCACCATGCTGGTGTGCTGAGAGGACAAGGGCAGGGCCACAGGTGGAGCTTACACACAGGCGGAGGCCCAGGGTCCAGCAGAAGAGAACCAGAGTGAGGGACCAGAGAGGCAGTGAGGGCCAGGCGGGTGTTGTCAGCCGAGCAGTGAGGCTCGGCATGGGGCCCAGGGGAGTGGGGCAGGGGGAGCCCCAGGCAGCACCTCTCTGAGCAAGGAGAAGCTGCTGTGGCCTGGGATGGAGATGGAGGCAAAAGGGGGTTTCGATTGGAAAAACTTTTCCATATTTTGAGAGATGAATGTGTTTTGGGTGGAGTGCGGGGAATGGAGAAGGTCCAGGAGAGGAGGTCAGTGGGAGAGGCCTGCTCAGGCACAGGGGTTGGAAAGGAACCACGCGGGGCCTCTACACTCTGCTGTGTCTGTGGTCTCAGCAGACAGGGTGGGAGCTCTGGGGGTCAGGCAGACCTATGTGGCCTGCTCGCCAGGGACCAGGACCCATGTGCCCTGTCCATGGTCATCACACTCTCAGGGCCATCGGGAGGCTGTGTGTGGGGTCTTCTGTAGTCCTATTTACTGAACGCCGATGATTCCTTCAGGGCCACACTGCGGTACTGAGCACATTCTGACTGGGCCGTCTTGGGCATCACCTGCCATTCTCCTGCCATCCTGTCAACAGCTCTGTGGGGCAGGGTCCTCCTCTGTACCTGATGCACCGACCACACAGTGGGAAGTGACAAAGCCAGCGCCTTGCCCCAGGTTTGTCTGATCCCAGAACCTGTGTTCTTTCCACTAGACCAAGAGTCCCAGCCTCAGGCATCTGCCAGCTCCTTGTTAAAGGGACACCGTGATTATGCAGACACGCTAATGCCTTAACATGCCTGAGGAGGAGGCACTACTGAGGCTGGGCGAGGTCTGAACTAGGTCTTGAATGATATCAGAGCTTATGCTGTAGAGGGAGGGACCCTTTAAGGTAAGGTTCCACCCTCCAAGCCCTACATCTGCAGTTCCACCACCCCAGCATATCCTCAGCTCTTCTCTGCCAAGTGCCTCCAGTAACCCATCCTTTCTGCAAGTGCACCCCACTCCGGGCCCTGGCCCCACCTCAGTTTCTCACACTGATGGCTAGGTTGCTGTGAGAACTGCACTTCACAGCACACACTTCTGTTCTTCTCTGGGGCAAGCGGTGTTACTGTTCCCATTGTACCGAAGAGGAACATAAGAGCCAGTGAGGCGAGCCAACTTCCTGGGCATTGCCTATGATGCCTGTGCAAACAGACACCCCATACACCAATGCAAATGGCATGAACCCCTTTGAAGCCACATGGACCATTAGATCTTCATTCTCCAAGGAAATGTCCTCACACAGGGGTACAGGACTTATTTCTATCCCTGGTAAGTTCGTGGCACACTTTGGATACCTTTATCTGTGCATGTGAAGAGTAGCTGTTTGCAAGACGATGTTTTTGAACATGGGAGCTGTTTTGTATGCATTGTAAACAGGGTCGTGGTGTGCCAGGGCTGGGAGGGGTTCAGGGTGGATAGAGTGCACCTACTTTTGTGAATGGCTTCACCCAAGGCCTAGCCCTGCCTGCTTCAGAGAAAGCTTTTTATTTCCAGAGCTGTTCTCTCCCTCTCTTACCCCATTCAGAGCCTTTTTATGACAAATGGGTGAAATTTCTTCCAGTTGACATTTGCCTCCCATTCTGTCTCCTCATATTGTTCTCATAAGTCCCAGCAGAGAGGCTGCCATGGTCCCACGGGCAATACTGGCATGGAGGGGATAGATTTCACCATGGCCCAGTTTCTCCTGAACTGGGAGCCCACTGAGAGGTTTGCCCTCAAAACACAGAGGCCCTTGTCCTGGGACCTGAAACCAAAGTCAGAAAAGCCAGTGAGGAGGGGACACAGCCAGGTTGACCATGGGGAGAGGGGCAAATGTGGCTGTGTCTTCCTGTGCATTGCCATTCTGCAAAGGAAGTGTCAGCGTCTCTGTTGTGCCTCTGTAGAGGGCAGGGCTTGGCAGGTCAGCGCTCCAGCTCCATGAGGCTCAGCCGCACGACTCAGGCTGGGGCCACTTAGCCTCCGCCTGTCCTGTCCCTGACACCTCTTTTCACATAGATCAGTAAGCCTCACAGAGTTACAGCTTAGGACAGTTCTGCCCTTACCAAACCTGGGGCTTCCCCTGAGCCACTCACCATGACACACAGGGCCCCTCAGTGCCTGCTGGCCTCCACGGTGCAGCCAGGAACCAGGCTTACCAGGGCCCCATGAGGGCAGGGTGGGGTCCTGCTTCAGGGTAGTGCAGCAGAGGCTATGATGGAAGTCATGCTCTGGGGTCTCAGACTCTAGAGGGCCAGCACCGTCAGGAGGAGCAGAAGACATGGCAAGAGACTGGTAGGAGGGGACAGCAGTACAGGTGACAGGAGAGAGCCCAGGGAGACTGGCAGTGCCACTGAAGGCGCCCACTGCCCTGCAGATTTAACCCTGCCTGGGGAAGGGAGAGCACAGCCTTCCAAGGATGGAGAGCCAGGGAGCAGAATAGAGGAGGCCTCTGCGATGAAGGCAGAGAGCCAAGATCTGACCTGTGACTTAAAAGCGCTCTTAAAACAGGTGTCCCAACAGTCAGAACCAAAGTCGTGTGTGCAGTCCCTGGGAACGCCTGCCTGAGACAAAATGCCATGAGGCCAGCTGTCCCCCAAGAAAGAAGCAGCCTAAAAAGCCCACAACTAGACACACCCATGTCACAGTTCTTAAATACAGATGTGGAGCCATGCTTAAGCACCTGGGGAGGAATCAGGGGCTGCCCCAGACACCCCAGCTGTATTCTTGCCCCAGCTGCCTGTGCGGCAGCTGACGCAGGCCAGCAAAGTGGGTCTCCAGAGCTGGGCAGAGGACTGCACGCCAGGGGCTCATCTGCCCTGCATATGTAAGAACAAGAGGTCAGTGCAGATAAAAGACGTCCCCCCACCCCCCGCCCAGTCCTCTTCAGGAAATAAGAGGACCCTTTAAGAATTGGTGCATACAATGTAGACATGAGCCAGAATTGTGACCTCAATGGCTAGGATGGGGTGGAATTCAAGGACCCAGGCCAGGGCTAGGCCACCATGGCCTGCCCCAGCAGGAAGGGGAAGGCGTGCTCTCCTTTCACATCCTTTACCTCGGCAGTGGTGTGGCATGGCAGCCACAGGCGGCTGCACCCCACCCCACACTCATCCCTCCCCGTCTTTAATGTAGGGACTGTTCATTTTGCTGGTGCCCTGGGGATGAGTCTTGCTGGCCTTAGCTGAACATGGGACACACACTGCTCATGTTAGCGATGGGTTAGACATGGGTATGTGACCTGGTCCTAGACAGTGAGTGGAGGAGAAACCTGGAGTGGGGTTTGAGGGGAGCATTGTCCCGCCTAGTCAGATGAGACAGCAGAGAGACCTGCTCCTCCCTGCTACCTTTGATCTCTACTGCAGAGAGGACTGTACTGCATTCAGTGGCCTGAGGATGACATGGACGAGAAGGGAAGGCCAGGCCTGGGTGGCATCACTGCTAAGTCAGCAGTGTACAGAAGTGTCCACCCGCAGACTTCTGGAGTGAGACAGCTAAATACAGGGTCCTGTTCCCAAGCTGTCGATCATACTGATGCTGGTGGTTTCTAGCTGAGGAACTGTGTTCGAGATATTGTTAGATGATAATGACTCTGGAGACCCTGGTAGGAGAGCAACTGACCTACATGTCTCTCTCTCCACGTGCCTGGAGCAGAGCTGTGGCATGTGTGACAGTGATCCTTTCTATTGCTAAGAAACTTAAGGAATGGCTTTCTACATTTTTACAGCTCTTTTTGGTGCCCTTAGCCATGAGTGGTGTTCAATTTGGAAAGGCTGTCAAGTGGTACAGTAGGTCCATCTACAGCTGGGAAGGGTCCTGGCCTAAAACCCACTTAAGAAAACAAATTAGCAGCAACAGTACATCCAAAGGCATGTAAATAAATATGCCCCGCTCCTCCACTGTCCAGCTGTGTGGCCTTATTTCTCTGAGCCTCAGTTTCCTGATTTATGTGAACAGCATGATGTACGATAGTGTCTGCTACCAGAGCTGTGAGGAGCAGCACTGAGCACGTGCAGCAACCAGAGGACAGCGCCTGGCCGGCAGGGAGTGCACAAATGTGCTGCTGTGTGTCAGTGTGTGAGTATGTGTGTGTGTGTGTGTGTGTGTGTTAGAGAGAGAGAGGAGTCTGGAAGGAGACCAACTGATCCAAAACTATGCTCAGGAGGCTGGGCCAGTGACTGAATTTAGTGTCATCTATGTTTGCTCTTTTTTCCCCACAATTTTAGAAAGTGAACTTATTCACTTTTGTGGGTTCTAAAACTACTTTGAAAAAGAAAGAAAAGAATAGTCAATTACCCCCAAAGTATTATCGTGGTTACCTCTAAGAAGTAAAAAGAACATTTTTCATTTCTTCAGACATTTCTGTAGAGTTCATTTTCCTTATTGCACACATATTAGTTTTAAATCAGGAGAAAAGTAAGTCACATGGTTATAGTCATGGGTAAACCACAGGCACAGGAAAGCAGCTGACAGCTATGCTGGGCACAGTGGGGCGGGCTGTCCCAGGCATAGAGGGATGGCTATCCTGGGTGCAGCGGGAAAAGCTGTCCTGGAGGTGAGCTGCACCGTCCTCATGGGGGCCCTCCAGTGGGGGTAAGCTCGCTGGGCTTTCCTGCCTCCTGGAGGTGCTCAGGCCCCAATGAAGGAGCCCGGTGTGGAGCCCCAGACCACAGCACATTTCAATGTCTGCTATATTGTGAGCCTAAGCCACTGACCACAGGGCTTGACCCCTGCGACCGTCCTTTCATTTCTAGAATGGGAAAGCACAGTGCTTCTCTCTGAGGGTTAAAAGGACGCTGGTGGGTGTCAGGGGCTTAGCCTAGCGCCTGGCAGGTAGGTAGAGTGAATGTGAATTCTCTCCCCTGCCTGCTGGCACCTGAGCCCCAGGCCTGCCTGCTCATGTCTTCTGCAGGCCCCGCAGGGTGGAGCCCGTCTGCTCAGGGCTGCAGGCCCAGATCCTCCACTGCTACCGAGATCGCCCGCATGAGGTGCTGCTGTGCTCAGACCTGGTCAAGGCATACCAGCGCTGCGTGAGCGCCGCCCACAAGGTAAGGCCTTGCCTGCCTCCCAGGTTTCCAGGGGGCTTGGGAGGTAGGGGAGGTACCGCTGTCTAGCATTGGAGATCTCTGCCTACCTTTTCCTGTTAGAGTCAGTTGCTCCACCTGGAGGTATCTGCATTTGCAAAGGGAGGGATTCTTGAGTCTTCACTTTCCTCAGTCACCTGCACACTCTCCTGGCTGCTTCCAGAAGCGCCTTGGACATCTGGCGCTGGGGAGATGATCCCTGTGGCGTTTGCCCTGTTAGGCTGGGTGGGAGCAGGCTGGGTAAAGTCAGGCCCCACCTTGAAGGGCCGGGCCCCTTGTGGGTGCCAGGGACTTCTTAGCTCTTAGCACTTAGGGGTGGGAGTGTGGCAGAGGCCCGAGTGCAGACTGGGGGTCCTAGCAAGGACAGGCTGTCTGGAAGAGGAGTGGGAGCAGGTACGGCCATCAGAAGCTGCTCACAGCCACCCCCCCTGAGCTGGTCTAGAGGGGTGTGCTGACTTGGCCTTCCTGGTGAGTGGTCCCAGGCCTCTTGTGCTCTCTGGTCACCTCCCACTCCAGTGGGCCTCAGTTGTCCTGGATGCCTGCGATGTGCTCCCAGCCAGCTCCTACTGTCTTCCTCCCCCACCCCCAACTGCTGCTGTCTATCCTAGATAAGTCCTCCCCCTTCCCAGGTCCCGTAGGGTTCTCTGGTGCAGTCAGGCTGTTCCCAGCCACACCTCACCCTTGCCCCACCCCAACAGGACAGCTCCCACCTTGGGGAGCATCATTCACTCTCAGGACACCTAGTTTGGGTTCCCTGAGGAGTACAGCCTGTTTGTGAAAATGTATGGGAGAAGCAATAGAATGAGGTCTCCTTTCCCACAGAAAAGCCTCTTTGGCCTGAGTAGGAGACAGGCTGCTTTAGGTATTTGGGGTGGAAAAGGCTAAGGCCAGATGCTCTGTGCTCTCCAGCTATGTCTGAGGGGAAATCTCTCCCACTGACCTGAGCGGGGTCCTGCAGCCCCGGGCCTGTGAGAGCTTCCTCGGGTCATGCCCTGCTCACACCCATCTGCCAAGGCTGATTGTTCCACCCTGGGCTGGTCACAGCCCCGACCAGCACCGACTGTCCCTTCATGGCCAGAGCACAGCCCAGAGGTAGCTCCACACAGGACGAGTGGATGCGAGGCCTCTGTCAGCCTTCTGAGAAAGGGAAGCCCTGGGTAGGACAGGCGGCCTCCTGCTCCATCTCAGAGTGTGGGAGGCTGCTCACTCTGCTTCCACGTGGGCAGGAGGTGCTGGGGTGCTGTGTAGGCTGGGCCAGACCAGGGCCCTTCGCACCGACCAGACACTTAGCTCCCTACTCACCAGCAAGATGAAGCCTCCAGATCCTCCCCACACCCAATCAAGGGCAGCTCCGAGTCTCTGTTCATCACACACCTAACTCTTTACCCAGGGATCTGCTGCAGCCTCTTGGCTTCCTGGCAGGGCCCACCCCTCAGTGACCAGCCCTCAACTCCATCCTCTCTCCATCTAGCCTCACCTCCGTGGTAATTTTCAGCCCCTACCCACCACCCCCAAGAGTATTTCTTTAACAAACACACCTCACCAATATATATTTCTTGCACCTAAGCAAAAATGTGATTACCAAGGAAGACAGATCACAAACCCTGAGAGAGGCTCTGGGACACTGCCAGGCCTGTCTCCCTCCCGTCCCCTACCCCTGACATGACTAGCAAAGAAACCGGAGACAGTGATGGCAGCGCCAGAGGTGCTGTGCTGCCTTGGCAGTGTGTGCATTTGGGGACAGCATATTCAACCTGACTCCCTCGGAGCCCCAGCACCCAGACACTTGGTTGGTGCCCTGTGTATGAGATATGGCAAGTGCTGGAGAAACTCTCACCACCCTTCGCCAGCCTCCACCTCAGAGGGCTGCTGGCAGAGCCAGAGAGCTGGGGGTGAAGGGTCCCTAAGAGAGATTTGCTTCTGCAAGGGGCCAGAGGCCCCAGTGGCAGGGGACAGAGGCCCACATGGTCAAGGGCCTTGGGGTGGGACAGCACTGCTTCTCTCTCCAGGATCTAGCATCTGCTCTGGGGCTTCTAGGGCAGGTTGGTGATGCCTAGGCCCAGAGCCTGGCGCCTGCCTATGTATGAATGTGCTGGCCGTCTCAGATGAGGACAGGGACCTCAGGCTCTCCACAACAGGACCCTGACTGTGTGGACCCCAGCATCCCAGCAGGCTCCCACTGAGCTGCAAAAAATCAGAGAACAGAGGGGAGGCCTTGACGAGGCAGAGCAGAGTTGGGTTAGACTCTTCTATACCCAAGGTGCTTGTCAGAAACACCGCAGCAGGTTGAGGGGATGGGGGCAGGGGACCTGCCTTCTGAGCCAGCCCTGGGAGAGTAGAGGAGAGGGGAGCGTGTGCTGGTGTCACTGTCGCGTGCAGTGAGGGCCTGTCCCCTGCTGCAGGGGACTGTGCTGGGCTCCAGGGTACAGAGGTGAAGAGATTCACTGATGGGTCTCCAGGTGAGGAGGGAGACCAACTCATAGCTGCTCCCTGGGACGTACTTGCTGTCACAGGGCACTCTGCACAGAGCTGGTGGGCATGGGCGGAGTGGGCCCTGACTCAACTCTGACCTGTTCTCTTTGTAGGGCTGAGGAGCAGACATCATTCCCTGTCCTGGCAGTGACTTGGAGCCCTGAAGAAGGGACCAATCATGGGACCACAGTCCACAGAGCCCTAGGCCACAGCCACTGTGCCCTGCCGTTTCCTGCTGGGCCCCTGCATATGCCCCTGAGCCTGGGGCTGCCATGTGTTTAGGAAACAAAGTATGCGCTACTGTCTGAAAACAAATAAAGCAGATGCCTTTGTTTTCAGTCGTTGACTCACTGGCAAACAGTCACTGCTGCCTACTCTGCGTCCAGCCCTCTGCTGGACACCAGCGAAGTGGAGCTGAGGAAGATGGGCTGCTCCCCTTGGGGAGTCCCTGGACTGGCAGAGGAGATGGCCTGGGAACCCCTAATTACATTGCAGCAGCAACAGCAGGCTGCTGCGGAAGCAGGGATGAGAAGGAAGGGGAGCAGGCCTTTCTAGGGATGGCACGGAGGGAGAGCAGGCCAGCTTCCTGCAGCGAGTGCTGCCTGTGCCCAGGGAGGAAGCTGACCAGACAAGGGCAGGGCAGGCCGGAGACCCAGCAGAGTGGATCCCAGGTGTGAGGGCAGCAGGGGGTGGAGGAGAGCAAAGGCAGGCAAGGCAGTCAGGCAGTGTGGTTGCAGAGGCGGCAGGACTGAGGTGCGGCAGGCTGAGCTGGCACTGTCTCTGAGTGACGTTGCTCCGGCTGTGAGGTGGTGCCAGGGAGACAGGACTCAATGCCAGGGAGCATCACCAGTGTGTAGGGCCCCGCACAGCTCAAGCCCAAGGTGGGTTAGTGGGGCTGATTGGCAAGACTGAAACCGACTGAGCGACAGAAGAGGCCAGGTGACTTTGAAGTCTCTGACTTGGGTGTTGGGGGTTCTAAAATAAGGAATGCAGGGATTGAGGAGGGCAGATGACAAAGTGGGTTTGGGACATGCTCTCCCTGGTTGGTGTCCAAACACTGGCCTTCCAGTCCTTGACCTTTGGCCATGTCCCCCACCCAAGGTGCCCTGGCCACACTCAGCCTGTACCATGCCAGCAGGAGGATTTTGGGGTGGAGCCTGGGATCCTCTAACTGCTCTGCTGGTGACCTTGGGTTTCCTGATAGAGCCCTTGAGGAGTCCCCATGCCATCTGGAGCTGAAAGCCCGCAGCTTTGACTCAGACTTGGCAGCACAAACTTCCCTTCTCAGATTCTCAGACTCAGAGTTCAAGGGGTGAGTTGGGGCTTAGGCGTGTCCTATTGGCTGGGCGGGTAGCATACTAGCAGCCAGGCAGACAGCTTTGGGAGACTCCCTCTCTAGGAGTCCCGGGTCAGCCTGTGGAAACACACAAGGAGACTCCATGCAGTGTGATGCAGCGAGGAGGGGTGGGGTGCACTGGGCACCCTGGCCTGAGCGCTTCGGGGAGGGGCCTACTAAGAGGAGGGGTGAGGGGTCACAGGTCAGGCCTGTCCACCATGCTGTTCTGACTCCCTCAGAAGTGTTTGGCTTCCAAGGCTTTGTCCAACTTCAGATCTCACAGGAATAACTTTCAGCTGTTCATCCCCTTCTCCAGGTGTCACTTTTGGGGGTTAGAGACGCATCCTGGGGTGGGAAACGGACTCCCAGGTACACAGACACCTGTGGGCTGGATGTTGCCTGAGCCTGTACTAGCTCGCTCTGTCTGGGTAACAAACCACCCCCAGACTTCATAGCTTAAAACAACGCCCATTTTATGTGGCTCATGATTCTGCTGGGTGGAGCCTATGGCCCAGGCCCATTCATGTCAGCCAACAGACCTGTGACCCCAGATGGCCTCCTGTGTCCAGCGACCAGCGGCCCCATGGTTTCTTCCAAATGGCCCCTCCTCCTCCAGGCTAGTTCGGGCTCCAGTTTCACGCTCCCACACAGCCAGAGAGCCAGCTTCCAGCGGCATGCACTTCCTGATCCTCTGCCTGCGACTCCTTGTTCCTTCATTCCCTGGTAGCGAGTCTGGTCAGACTGCAGTTGGCCTGAGAGGAGTGAAAAGACCTCTTTGGCCTCTGAGCTCCACAAAGCTACCTCCTGCTTTGGGAATGGGGCCAGAACGAGGTTGGCAGTGGCAGTGGAGGGTAGCAGCAACAGCCCTCTCCCAGGGCCTGTGCAAAGAGGCGTCCAGGGACAGAGGCTGGCAGAGCAGCCTCATGAGATGGCACTGTTACCCACACATCACTGCATGATTGACTCAGACCAGGAGCTGACACAGGTTTGAAGGCCCAAGAGCAGAGCTGGGGAGCAACGCCACAGGGGTGGGAGGTGCGGGGCAGGGGCCGGTAAGGCTCTCCAGGGGCTCATGCAGAATCCAGGGCCCTTCCTTCAGGTCCCCCACTGCCTCTGGCCCCTGGCTGGCTGAGTCTGCTTACCCCTCTCCCTCCTCCCCATAGTGTCCTTAGCCCTGGGCCTCCCACACCCCCAATTCCACACATCTGTCCCCAGATCTTGCAGGATTTTCATAAACTTCCACTTGGTCCTAAAAATAAGACTCACGCCTGACCCTGACCAGTCTGTCCACTTTCCACCTCCATGTCTGGCTCATGGCCCCTGCCTGAGACTCTTGCCTCCTCCTCCTTCAGGCTCTGTGCGGGAGCTTCTGGTCTCCTTCCACATTCCTCAAGGGTTAAGCACTGTGTGAGTCCTCAGAGCCCTCCTCCTGGGTGCCCACCCAGCCCGGACACAGGCCTCCAACCCGAAGGCAACACAGTGTGTGCACAGCCCGCCGGCTTCTCAAGATCAGCCTGATGTGGGCTCCTCTTGGCCACCCCTGGTCCCTGGTACAGGCAGGTAGGGAGTCGTTTGGGGACCAGGACTAGTCTCAGATGAGGACAGGGCACCTGTCCTCATGATGATGAGATGTAAGGACCATTACCAGCTTCTTCAGTGTCTCCGGGCCTGTTGGCATCTGCCTGGAGTCCTGGGTCTTGGCACCTCCTATAGTGGGTTCAGGCAGGAAGGGAGCCCGCTGCACACAGGGAAATCCACAGGCTCTGCAGGCCTGGGGGCCTCAGTTTAAATCCTGACTCTGCCTCCTGTTGGCTGCCAAGAAAGGCCAGCAATTCCCTTAGGCCTGAGCCTCAGTTTCCTCATTACAGAACAACTAAAGCAGTGTCTAGGATTTATAGGGAACACCAGTGGCCCACTCCGCATCCACCCATCTTCTTTTAGAAACAGCTTTTCAAGTTTTCTGAAGAACCACTCTCCCCAACTCTATCAACGACTCCTGTTCCCCTCTTCCTACCACCTTCACCTCCACACAGGGAGAGGGTTCTAGAGAGCAGAGCCAGCAGAGGCACACAGCCAAGGGATGGAGAGACTGTGCAAGGTCATTGAGCACCTGGATCCAGCCAGACCTGAAGTTAACCTGAGCTAGCAAGTTTCCCTTTTTGTCTGAACTGGGTTTTTGTCATTTGCAACAGGACTTCTCTGTGAGAGAGCATTGTTCTGGGAAGCAAATGTTCTCCTGTCAGCGCCCAGCTTCCCTTTCCTTTGAGCCAAGTTGAGGTGGCAGGTTTGACTCTTCCCAGCCTGGGGAGGGGAACACTGGCTTACACTGACTCTCCCCTCAGGGCAGCTTCAGAAGCTATCCCAGGCCCAGCTGCAGACTCTGCCATAGGGACCACAGGGCAAGACTCAGGAATGGACTTTGTAACTGGAGAGGAGCAGACAGACATGCTAGTGGCAAAGTCTGAGGCGCTGATAGGGAGGTGGGGGAAGCGTTCTGAGATTTCTTCAACCAGACCAGTTGGAAGTGAGGCACCCACGCACACCTCACCTGGTGAGCTCCTGTCCATCCTTAGGGGCCCAGCTCCGACTTCCACCCCTCTGTGCCCCCATGCGCACCTATATACCTTTAGGTAGAGGCTGGAGGCTCCTCTGAGTGAGTCCCTGCAGTCTTCACCTGAGGGGGTAGAGACAAGACCTGGGGGAGCTCCAGTGGATGGGGCTCTACCCCCCAACTCCAGCACCCCTGAAGGAGCAGGGCATGTTCAATTATTTCTATCAGCTTCTCTCTCCCTCATTGTTTTCTGGGGGCTTTGGATTGAGATGAGGGAACGAGCTCCTGACTGTGCACCTGACATCGTGCATTCCTCTCCTTGGGTCTCGGTGTCCACCATGCAGGATGATTGTGCAAATGTGTGTGCATTGGTGTGAACCGTGTGTCCAAGTATGCAAGTGTGTGTGTATGGGTCTGTGTGCACATGTCCATCCTGCGTGTGTATCCATGTGTGTGCACACATGTGAGTGCATGGCGCGCCAGCACACATGTGCAAGCATGTGCATAGGTGTGTGTACCTGTCCATCTGTGTGTGTTCATGTCTGTGCATGTGTACTTGAGTTTGCGCACAGCCAGCCAGTCATGCTCAGCACCTACGGATGCTCACGGGCTCTTCCCAGCCTGGATATCAGCCATTTCTCCACTTCCTCAGAGCCAGATCTTTGCCCCTCCCCTACTGGAGACTGTGTGTGTGTCCCCAGGGCCATCTGTAACACTGCGTGGGAGTATGAATGTTTGTGTGTTCTCATGTGTACCTACACCTCAGTACCTCCATGTGGCTGTGTGTGGTAGGAGGTCAGGTCTGAGAGAGAAATTCACGGGTGAGGAGTGTGTCCAGCAGGGTGTGCACCTAGAGGAAGATGCTGCAGGCTCGTGCCCCGGCTGAGTGACCGTTAAGCGGGAGTATTAATACTCATCCCACCAGTTGCAGGGGCATTCTTGGTGACGACATTGGTTGTATCATTCAGGGTCCAACCAGGAAGATAGCACCCTTGCTTTGGAGCAGGGAGAGTTGAATGCAAGGGATTGGTCACAAAGGAGATGGAGGAACTAAAAACCCAGATGGGATAGTGTGAGAAATAACTCAGATCAGCAGCCATAGGACCTCCTGCCACCTGGGGCTGCAGAGACAGAGGGAAGAGGCAGGATCACCCAATGGAAGCTGGCACCGCAGGGGCCCTGCACAGGGAAGCTGGGGCCTCTAAGGGGTCACAGCAGCTGTGAGAGGGCTGCCCATGACAGAGGAGGTGGAAATGCCCTGGCTTCGTTCTGCCCTTAGCCATAGGTAGTGCCTTCCATGGCGGAAAGCCGGCTGCTGCCGGCCACCCCCTGTGGTAGAGGAATGGGTCTGAGGAAAAGGCCCAGGAAGGTGCCTTAGTGGGACCATGTGGGCTGTGCTGAGTGGTGTGTGTGCCTGCATGTGTGCCTATGCTCAGGTGGGCATGTGAGATGTAGCTGG